ATATGGTAGGCATATGATAGTGTGATAGGGGTATAATAATGCTTTAGTCATTATCATCACAACCCCAGGAGGCAGGTAGGATCTGCAAGATACCTGGAAGTGGGGAGATGGTCAGCCAGGCCATTTGGCCAGGTCTCAAATGATTAGAGTCTCCAATTTCTACTGCTTTTCAGGAGTAAATTTGAGCAAGGATGGTTTAAGCCTGGAACTATATCCTTCAACTCCATCTAAGAGCCATATTGTCCCCAATTGCCTTGGCTTGGCACAGTCATTCACAGCTACCTGTAAATTTCAAGCAGGTTTGTGATCAAGACACTGACTCTCTGGCCACTTCGGAAATGATGCTCAGGTTATTAACATCCCTTCTCAAAGGAGATCTTTCTTTCTCCAGAGCACACAGAAACATGCTCTTTGGGTGTTATTCAGCTATTTCTGTAAATATAAAAGACAGACATAAATTGCATATTCTTGTATATTAAAAGTTGTATATGTAGAATGATACATTATCAATGTATTTATTATAATTTGAATTTTTGATTTAAAAATCTATCCATTTAATTTTCTACATTTTACCTTTCCCTTTATTAGTTGTAAACCTTGTTTGCATAAAACAGAAAAATTTCTCATTGAATTATGCCTACACTAGTGTTTTTTGTCCTTTTGTTAGTTATGTAATATTTATAATACTCTTCAGATCAATTTGTATTTTTTAATATTCACACTATTTACCAGTAGTGTTAGTCACTTAGTCATGTCCAACTCTTTGCAAACCCATGGACTGTAGCCCACCAGACTCCTCTGTCCATGGAATTCTCTACACAAGAATACTGGAGTGAGTTTCCACTCCCTTCTCCAGGCGATCTTTCCAACCGAGGGATCGAACCCTCCTGAATTGCAGGCAGATTCTTTACTATCTGAGCTACCAGGAAAGACCAGTTTGGTTTTTTTTTTTAACTTTTATTTGATTTATTATTAATTTAAATTTCAAAATCTTAAAAAGCAACACAGTCAGATGGTTTATAATTTTATATCAGTTTAGTTTTGCCCTGCATTTCTTTTACATTGGGTAAGATTAAGAAATCTTTTTTTTTCCTTTATTTTTATTAGTTGGAGGCTAATTACTTTATAGTATTGTAGTGGTTTTTGCTATACATTGTCATGAATCAACCATGGATTTACATGTATTCCCCATCCTGAACCCACCCTCCCACCTCCCTCCCCATCCCATCCCTCTGGGTCATCCCAGTGCACCAGCCCTGAGCACCCTGTCTCATGCATCAAACCTGGACTGGAGATCTGTTTCACATATGATAATACACATGTTTCAATGCTATTCTCCCAAATCATCCCACCCTCGCCTTCTCCCACAGAGTCCAAAAGTCTGTTCTATATATCTGAGTCTCTTTTTCTGTTTTGCATGTAGGGTTATCATTACCATCTTTCTAAATTCCATATATATGTGTTAGTATACTGTAATGGTCTTTATCTTTCTGGCTTACTTCGCTCTGTATAATGGGCTCCAGTTTCATCCATCTCATTAGAACT